ACTTTAGAGCCAAAGGGTAAGCATGACTCAGGCAACTTTTCCGTACCGATTTTGCAAAAGATGACATCAGTGAAATTCAGCTCGAAGGTGAAGGGAAAGTATGGATTGGAATGGACGCCGTAGAAATACTACAAAATATGAGATTATTTGCAATAGAGATTCATCACTGACAAAGCTACACATATTATCAAAACAAACCCTATGTATTGAGGCGCTCCTTGCTGAAAATCTGCACTGACGAGACCGCGTTTCCACACCACCTGACTTCGGCTGGTGCAGAATCTGAAAAAACTCACTTTTTTTGCAGCTGAGACAATTGAAAGGAGGCTGTGTACCTTGACAAATGTTGGCAAATCCCGTTGCAGCTCATTATATAGTCGCTCGTGATCTAGAACAACTACGACGTCCACTTCAAACGCTTCCGCAGCAGCCACAATACAGCCATAACTAAAATTCACAGTCGGTTAGCAAGCGAAGTCATAAAAAAGCTACAAATGTCACTCGGTCAAAACGAAGGAAAATAAGGAAATTATGATGAATAGCAAAACGAAACTAACCCTTCACCGGTAACCCATCCACAAGTGTTGATAACAAGACCACCTAAATTAGCTTCTGGATGAGTGGCGCATCGAAGAGTTACGGAATCTGCCAGCTCCTTTACCAAGAGGTCATACAAAGGAAGATTGTCACCTGGCGAGACATGACCAAACTAAAAAATAGAATAAGTAAGCTACAAGGTGGAAGAGTTTTGCGAAGTAACCAACGTTGTAGACCAGAGGCTTCGAACGGTCAAATCCCTCAACGACATCGGCTGTTTTGTTGATGAAAAGCGCTCCGATAGTTCCGGGAACAGAGATACTGCCCTAAACGTACGACTACTACTACCACGCTTACGACTGACTTGAGTAAATGAGACTACCTGTCCAACATCCAAGTCAATATATACAGGTGATCTACCTTGCCTAACAGCATAGTTGCAAAGGATGCGGCAGACCGTCGTTTTTCCAACATCCATTGGTCCCACTAAATCATTAATGGTCACACTGAGCAGAGACAAACTATAGAGATTTTCGATAACAGTCTCTTGAAAGCGTTAGCATGTAGCAATGTCATTATATGTCTATTTTTTGCACTCCCTGTGAGCTAAACAGAAAACAAAACCTTCATATCGCCTGATTCATAGAGGATGCTTGATGAAATCAATTTCAATCGGCAATCAAACAAACTTCGACGAACAGCTTTTGAACGAGACTCTCGGATACAAACAACGCATTCGCTGTATCTGCCCCTCAGTGTGCAAAAATCAAAGACAGGCTTCCGCAAAGGCTTATATCTTGATAACGTATGACATATCCTTTAACACATTCCGACAAGACTGATTTTTCAATTACTGCCGTTTCGGACCTGAGCCTTTTCCTTTTTAAAC